AGTATTAGGTAGGCATCCGTATGAGTTGCTTTCCTGTAGACAGTGTCCCATTGAGCCATCTGGTCTCTTTTTGATTAAACATCCCACAATGGTAGCTTGCCATCCTTTTCCACCTCCATGGTGAATTTGCCAGTTTCCTGTTCATCACTGCCTGCATCATCAGGTTGCTTTCTTTTATGTGCAACCATTTTATTAGTTCAATGTTGGTCACAATTTGGTCCAGCTTAGATGCAGTATATCCTTCTGTAGCAATACATTTCGAGTATCAATATTTTATGTTTTTTTCATTCTCGCAGGCATACAACGCTATACTGAACAAGCATTTTCTTAACATGTTCAGTTTGGTCTTGTAGCCGATTTGCTTGCTTCTCCACATGTTTCGAATCCTTGTGTAGTGGCATTCCTGGGTGATGCCACTGCTCCCCGGTTGTAGTGCCAGCCCCAGGATGACAGGGGGCGGAAGAGTGCCCGGATCGAGCTGGGCCGTGGCACTCAGGTTGAACCCTGGGAGGCTCGTGACCGGAGGTATGGACCCCAGGACCCCCGAAAGGGGGTGGGGGGATGACGTGCCCAGAACCCAGGTCCTTCTCGAAGGTATGAGGAGGGCGTGTCTAGGGGTGGAGGAGCCGGGATTGACTATAAAAGCCGGACCCCTGAAGCTGCTGTTGTATATTGGAGACCCGAAGCCGTCACCCTGAAGAGGAGCTTGAAGACGAGACCCGGACCCCAGCCAGGGTCGGGTCGGCGTCAGCCTGCCCAGTATTAGGCGCTTTAGGCGGAGGATATACCTCCGTAGAGTATCGGGTGGAAGGGGCCGTTACCCCTTCGTGTTAAGGTTACTCCTGTTATAATAAACGTGTTGTCTCTAAAGAAGTCTCGCTCTCCATTCTCCCCACTCCACTTGTATATCACTCAGTGCCTTTGCTATCCTCGCTCTTCTGTCTTTCGTGCTGTCGCATCTCAGTCGAGTTCCCCTCTCCTAAATCTATCTCAATACATCTAATAATGAATCAATGTATCTCCTATACTTGAGTTATTATGACTGTCACTGTTCTCTCATATAATTACCTACCCGTTCTTATTTCTCCTGTAAATATATCACATTTCCGTTCAATATAGGTTTCATCCAAATGCATGTCATATCATTCCCATTATGAATACATATTTTGTGAATGCATCTCTATCCATTATCTTACCTCGTTCTGACACATCTCTCACATCTCAGTTGAGTGCATGTCTGCTAAAATCCGATGTGGACAGCAAAGGTTAAAGAGCCCGTAGCCTGTGGCGATCAGCATCGCCACTCAATTAGGCCCTCCAATAAACGTTTGGACAACCATGGTTTAGAATTTCAAATGGCAATTATTAAACACTATGTCCAGATTGTCATATCCAAATACATTTGCCCAAACAAATTCAGATGATTAAGATGTGCAGATGACAAACTGCTGTTAACCTGTATGAAAAAGTGTGCCGAATAGCAAAGTACTATACGACAAGGTACATTGGTGCTTGAAAAAAAACAAGTACACGTTCACACAAATCTGGAAAGGATCTTTCAAAATAACTTGTGCTGTATTTTTATTTTGCCTCTGCAAGATATACTGCAGTACATAGGATTGCATCACCAGAAAGCACACGGACGTAAAAGTGTAGACATTTAGAAGAGCTTTTTGGTATAATACATTACCACTCCAAATTACGATTTAAAGGGGAAAACTCACTCGGGAACATGTTGTGCATTCATTTACATTTATTCGGGACATTTTTTCATCCATATCTGTACACATACAGTGTTTAATCATGCAAAGCTTGGCCAACCTTGAATTAAACTACCTTCCCTCTCAATGTTCTATTTTTATCAAAAACAAAAAAGTGAGAAAAATGCCGTTTTGTCACAAAACTGCCTTTTCCCATGAACACCATCATGCCAGCATTGGAGTGTTTTGATGATGGCTTCACACTTCCGAGAATTGTGATATTTTGATGTTAATTTACGCTCGTTCACAGGATACTGTCGATATGGATACTGGTGTACTTATATTGCACACCTTCGGGGTACAGACCAGACCATTGCAGATAATCTCTGAATAAAATGATATATCAAGAGGTTCTTCTGAAATGGTAATCCTATTTTAAAGGCTGCATCATTAACGAGTTTTCGTATATTTCAGATAGCTCTTCGTAAATGCACCAACTATGAAGAAACTGCCCCCTGGATCATTCAGTAAAACAATGTTAACATTATCAATATTTCATATTCATGTGGTGATTTGCTAACATAAGAGCTGACAGGCCTTCAAAATCTTGTGGCCAATGTGATGGGCAAATCTCAAGAGCACCACTAGGCGGCGATATTCTCCTTGCCAAGACAGTCGGTGTTTCACTTCACCTGTCAGATGGCATCACTCTGCTGCATGCAGCATTGATGTGAACAAAATTAAGGTCATTTTGTTGTTGGGTTGTTTTTTTTTAATGGAAAAATCTATTTGCTATGCATATTCACTTAATTTTTATGTTGTACTATAAAGCGAGTTGTATGGCATTGGTATATCTTAACTTGTAACCATATTTACATAACTCGTAGTTTCCTGTCACGGTTATTGTGATATAAATTTCCCATAAAGGAAAACCGTTTGTAGCATTTAATGTTACTTTAGCATCAACGGCTGCTTCAAGTGCAAACTATAACGTCACAACTAAACATTTTAGTGGAATTTTATTGGCACTCGTAGTAATGGAATTTTAACTTAATATTTTTCACACTTCACAAAATCAGTGCACAACCCAACCAGAGTGACGCCTTAGAGAGGACACACAAGAGTGGGTGTATATGCTTGGCAATAACAATGTCACATTCATTTCCATTTCACAAAACAGTAAAAACCTGATTCTCATATAGCATGCATCGTTAAGAATCCTTGGACACATCCAAGTGAGGGGACTCGTGGAACAATGATGAGCTTACAATGAAAGTAAATTGCGCATTTAAATTTTGTAATCGCTCATACATTTCTCTTTCGATGTATGCTGTAAGCATATGCTTTTTCAGGAATACAAATGGAATTTGAACACCATGCAAAGGTTATATTTAAAAAGTCTGTGGTTGCAGTATTTTAGAATTCAGGTGTCACAAACCTAAGTTAAATTATCATCATAAACAAGCTACGTTGGAAGACATTAAAATAACAAGCCGTCAAACACTGTATAATGGAGTTTAACACAACTGGAGATATTTTAGTAACGGAGCCTCTATTAAACTACTTTTTACTGGCAAACAAATATTTCTGGATATTTGAATAAACATATGAAATATATTATGGCGGTAATATCTCGTTCGTTTTTACAAATTAAATGTGTTTTAACCAATGCAATGACACTACAGGAGACAACTCCCTTAAATTATGGAGCTACCCTAGGTTGTATGACAATTATTTGAAGTACAAATCATAGCCAGTACATAAAAAAACATAACCATACACATCATAGTAAGTTATTAATTTATTGCAGTATTGTGGTGCAAATTTACATTTTTATCCAAGGGCCTTACTCATATTCTTAGCTCTTTCGGTAAAGTCACGTTGAAGGGAAACAATAAAATAATAAAATATATATAACAATAAAAAATTCTCACGACGTTTCGACCATAACACAAACGGTCATCATCAGGTGTGAAAAACCAACGGCAAGAAACATTTGAAAGAAGTGACGGTTTCCATCTATTTATTTAAAACGGTGTATTTATTTATTTAAAAAACGTTAGCGCCACGCGCAGCGATTTGGCAAGTTTATTTAGAATGACGAGTCCATCTATGTTCTGAAAAGAGGAGGGGGGAGACGAAAAATTAATGTATGCTGTCTGAAAGCCACCGTAAGCGTGAACAATCAATTAAGACCTGAAATGGTTTATCAAATCCTTCTAATGATTGCTAAGCCAGAATCCATCTTCTCGGTTGAAATTGTCTCTGTGCTTGTATATATGGATAGCCTCATGAACGAATCTCTCATGGTAGCCAGATGGCTTACAAAAAGCAGACCTTAAACACGGTAGGACCAACACCTCGGCCGTGGCAGATCATTGTTATAATTCAGTAGGCTCACATGACATTGACTTCTCCAAGACAGAGGTTCTTTGTAAGCCATCTGGCTACCATGAGAGATTCGTTCTTGAGGCTATCCACATATACAAGCACAGAGACAATTTCAACCGAGAAGATGGATTCTGGCTTAGCAATCATTGGAAGGATTTGATAAACCATTTCAGGTCTTAATTGATTGTTCACGCTTACGGTGGCTTTCAGACAGCATACATTAATTTTTCGTCTCCCCCCTCCTCTTTTCAGAACATAGATGGACTCGTCCTTCTAAATAAACTGCCAAATCGCTGCGCGTGGCGCTAACGTTTTTTAATTAAATAAATGTGCCGTTTAAAAATAAATAAATTAATAAACATCGAACCGACACTTCTTTCAAATGTTTCTTGCCGTTGGTTTTTCACACCTGATGACGACCGTTTGTGTTATGGTCGAAACGTCGTGAGAATTTTTTTAATTGTTTTATATATATTTTATTGTTTCCCTTAAACGTGACTTTACCGAAAGAGCTAAGAATATGAATTACTGCAGTCACGAAAGCTTTAAATCAAAATTTAACGGCCTTACTCATGTTTGTGGAGACATTTCTTCTGAATGTTGGTGGTATAACGGACAAATTGAGCAAATAACACGAACTAGCTCGCTTTTCCACTATAGGAGGAAAATGCCTTTCCACCAACACATGAACTGCATTTTACCATCACCAAAAAATGCAAACCGTATACTCAGCTGTGACAAACCACACCAATAACACAAAAACAAACACATAGCATTATAACAATTAGAATAGTACAATTTAAATGCAACCATGCATTAAATGAACATCTCAATGTGTATTTCTAAACTAAAAACACCCCCCATATCAGTGAAGTGCAGTCTGTAGCTCTTTTATCATAACGTTATTTCCATTGCCTTTCGAATTACTGTGGTGCATACAGGTTTAAACTGTGCGTCCAGATGATCCCAAACTTTAAGACACATTTTAAATCTAAAAGCTTGAATCTGTGTCCACCAACAAAATGTCAAACTAATCTAGAACATTTAACACTTGTATACAATAATTACAATATTTTACAGCACGTTTATGTACACAAAGCTGAAAATATTGCAGCAGCCTGCGGGCTTACGAGTGGACGCCTGAGAGTATAATCCAACTAATGACGAAGTAGAAAAGGAATATTGGATACACGGCAAGGGCTTTTCTATTGGGCGGCTGGCTGTCGGCCAGAAAGGCTGTCGATGCTGTGAAAACAAATCAAAGCATAAATTAACGTGCAAAGGGCTTTAAATATACATTTAGTTATTTGTTTGCGTGGAAAATACCACACGATAAAAAAATATATTCTTTAGCACAGCTCACTCATAAAAACCTGTAACAATCACCTAAATTAAAAATTCATGGAATAGAAAAAAAAGATGTTTAAATGCAAAAAAAAAAGTTGGCAATGCTGTAAATATACTCTGTTAGCATGTTGTAGATAATGTCTGATATGTAATGTCACAGAACATTATGAAGACGCTGATAAGTGAATACTTTTTCAAACTGCCACCGCATTAACATTTTGTCAACGATGTAATGATTTTAAGAGTGTCAATCTATTTTACAACAAGTGAAATGTACTTACCAAATACAGACCAGCCAAAGGAAAGGAAGACCACAATACAATTAATTATGGTGAGGACGAGAGTTTTTGTGGCCAAGGTGGTGATGAGACACACGATCATGGACACTGTCAGTGGCATAACACAGTATCCAAGCACACACAGGCTCTGGAAAAAGGATCTGCAAAACAGACATTAAACAGATTTTCACAATGCATGCTACCCACCCGCCCACCAACCTGTAACACACATTATGCATTGTGGTTACCCAACGAAGCACCATCAAGGTTCAACCGTGCTAGCTTCTGCAATCTGATGAGATGAGGTACATTAAGTGATTTGATCATCATCAGCATGGTTATGATGCAGTTATGCAAAAAAAGAATGTGTACCATGCAATTGAGACATTAAGATAGGTTAACGGCTGAAAATTGAGACCCAAAGTCTTTTGTAACGAAATAATGCGTTTTAATATTTAGGACTGAAAAACCATAGCAATGTCATTAACTTGGTGGTGGGTATAGTTAAATGTTATGTTAAACAATTGGAGGATGAAAATTGTATTTGTACATAACCTATCCTTTGTCTAATTCTTGTAGAACACTAAAGACTCACATGTTACCCCCAAGGAGCTGGGAATTCAGCGTGACGACTATGGCACCGACCCATACTAACACAAAAACCTCTGCAAACTGTGGGCCTTGACTCGCTTTGTCAACGGGGGTCTTCGCCTGCAGCATCCTGAAAGGCAACAATCGGCTCATTTATAATTACTGTAGCGCCAAAGCAACCAGTTTTGCACATTGGTGAAAAGGGATATCTTGTATTAAACTAAATGCGTGTCCTGAAGCCTGCTGAACTTATGAACATGTTTGAACTAGTTTACATGCTTTGAATCAAGATGCTAATGTTTAACCATTGATTTAAAGCACCGAAAGAAGTGAATAAGCTGCTATAACTGGAAACATTGATAAATCAATGGTATTATCTTGCTGAAATTAAATGTGCTGTATTTTATTACATCATTCATCTCCATACAACCATGCGGACTGAATGCAGAGTTTTCAGTAGACACACGTTCTGCATGAAAACGTATGAGGCTACACTATTTAGGCTGTTACAATGAAAAGTGTGCTTCATAACTATTTTAACACATTTTATTCAGTTTTCATCCAAACAAAAGCAACACCAATTTCATTGTTGAAAATGATCTTTCACTGCTATAAGCATCATCTCTAATGCCATGTAGTTAAGTGACACTTTGCAGGAAGGAAAGTGAAACTGAATTAATGAGGGTGATACTCACGCTGCTAGTAATACACATAGTATTAGTGGACCCCACAGATCCCCTGCAAATAAAAACATTACATTATATATTGACAGCTTTAAAATAACTGTTAATACATTTCTGAACACAAAAAGTTAATACTGTGTTGAACAAAAATGTAATGTCATAGTGTATGAATAGCATAGTTTGTATTAGCTTCAGACCTACACGGATGTAGGTGTAATGAACCAATGTCTTATTCAAACATGTACAATTGTATTTACTTTAAGCAGTCAAATACAGTTGAAGATTATTAAATATGCTTACAGTCTCTTAAGAGTTCAGAACTCTTCTTTGGGTAGAGCACGTGAATAAACTTCTTCCCTACGGCTTTCATGTCTCTCATCTGTAAAACAGAAACACAGCCTTAGGTCTTCAACAGATCTCATGAAAGGAAACTTCAAAAGGGCTTCGGAAAGGAACAATCAGCATGCCCCTTTGTGGAGATGGGAAAATGAAAGACAGAATTTTCTGCAGTAGTGCGGCACACAAAATACGGCCAATTAGCAAAGCGGGGTAGAGCTGTGTGGCTGTTAGCGTACTGCTGTGAACCCTGGCACCTGAGATCATTTTCTGGTCACCGCTAACATAAGCAGCGAGTAGTATTTGAACCTGCCTTGGACCCCACTCTTCACCAACCAACACTTACCAGCAAGGTAAAATATGATCAAACCACCTCAAACACCATGAGTGTGGGAAGCCTTTATCCAGCAGTGGATTGACAAAGGGCTATAATTTACATGTATAGAAAATAACAACGTATATCAATTCAATGTTTTATTAAGTGCACTTTAGCTCATAATTTTCTTTCCCCCCTCTCTCGATGCAGTCGTATATAGTTCCAGATGTGATTCACGGATAGCCAAAACCGCAGATAGCAAGTTTGTGAATAACGAGTGAATGCTATACTTACGCTGCTGGATTGACGAGGCGCCAAGCGGTAATTTAAGAAACTTGCACCATTATTTCAACAGCTGCACCAGCAGATTTAACTGAACTGGGAATTTCAAGTCCAGTTTCTACGAACCATTACACCACAGCTACATCCTTTTTTGTCATTTGTATGATCCCGACATTTTTTGTTAAACACCTAGAATGGCTTCTCAGGTATCGGACGAGGCAGCGGCGAGAAGACAACAAGCATGCCAGGCACAAGCGTGCCAGGCACAAGCGTGCCAGGCACTAGCGTGCCAGGCACAAGCGTGCCAGGCACAAGCGTGCCAGACACAAGCGTGTCAGGCACAAGCGTGCCAGACAACAAGCGTGTCAGACACAAGCGTGCCAGACAACAAGCGTGGCAGGCACAAGCGTGTCAGGCACAAGCGTGCCAGGCACAAGCGTGCCAAACACAAGCGTGCCAGACACAAGCGTGCCAGACACAAACGTGCCAAACACAAGCGTGCCAGACAAGCGTGCCAGACACAAGCGTGCCAGACACAAGCGTGCCAGGCACAAGCGTGCCAGACACAAGCGTGTCAAACACAAGCGTGCCAGACACAAGCGTGCCAGACACAAGCGTTCCAAATACAAGCGTGCCAGGCACAAGCGTGCCAGGCACAAGCGTGCCAGATACAAGCGTGCCAGACACAAGCGTGCCAGACACAAGCGTGCCAGACACAAGCGTGCCAAATACAAGCGTGTCAGGAAAAAGCGTGCCAGGCACAAGCGTGTCATGCACAAGCGTGCCATGCACAAGCGTGCCAGACACAAGCGTGCCACTCACGATCGTGTCCTTGACTGGCTCGTCCAGTGTGGAGAAGTCGTCCTCCCTGTTGTGGGAAACGGGGACGTTGATGTCCCCCTCCACAGGCTCGTCGGCTGCCACCGACACGTCGGTGAGAGTCGCAAACTGTGTGGGAGACCCATGGGTAAGTAACGACGTTCATGTCACGACGAGAACGCATTTGGTTTTTAAAGTGGTGAATCTGTATATGGCCGCGTGAACACCGCGTGAACTCCAGTGAGGTGGGGACCGGCGAGCGCTACGCTACGGACCCGGCCACCCGAGTTCGATTCCCGCTCACGGCCACCAGTGACGATCATCTCAACAAGGGTCCTGTGCCTCCCTTAGGTCGACTCAGTCACGAATAAGTAACCCGGTGCGATGTGTAAACATCGCCACTGGGGAGACAAAAGCGGCCGGGCGTGGTGCTGACCACCGCCCCCTCGTGTTCCACAGTAGCGGCCTCCTGCTGCCCGCTAACAGCACTTGCCCCTACAGTCTGGTGAAGGCTATGGGGGTGATCTTTGTCTCTGTCGCCACATCTCCACTGTACACCACTCGGGACGTGTCACCCGCCCAGTGGCAGAAAGCGACATAACGCAACGTCGATTCAGATTTGCTTTTTAAACACCCAATTGTAATAAAAACCACAAGACAAACACCACTATCGCTAATTAAGACGCCCTACTAATAATGCAGACGTAAGGCCTCAGCTTACAGTGTAACGAATGAGACACACAGGTGGTGGTTTTGTCGAACGTGGCGAAACTACTGCACGTGCGGCCTACCTCTCAGCCAAGCACTCGTAGTGTTAGCCAGCGACATTCACCAAACCTTAACAAAAGGCACAACTAAACACACACTGCACGTTGGTCGCTTATCATCATCACGACCGTGGTGATAATAACAACTGCTGCTAAGGCGGAGGAGTGATAATAAAACTAGCTCTGACCTCCTCCAACACGGCCTCCGCTGCCGCCATCGCGAGAGTGCGGAACACGACGCCGATAGATTTCCCAGCGCGCATCCGCAGCCCTTCGGGGCACCGCCAGCGCTCATCCGCACTACCAAATACAACGATGGGATTATTCACATTTGCGTGTTTATATATTAAATCCAGAACAGCACGATCACAATCTTTACTTCTACGTACTGCAGGAATCCGATGAGCTGTAAAGCTCTTCTTCACAGATGTCAATCTGGGGCACGGGGTCAGAACGTTACACCAACTAGCAATAGAAAAACACGATGGGTGTGCAAATCACAATACATAAATAAAACCAAACTTTGTATTTATTTTATTTTACCAGGTGAGGGGCCATCCACTTAGCACGTTCACAAAAATCTGTCAAGACGTGACCCCTCTGCCCCTCCCTGTACACACGCGGACTTCTTACACCCACCCCCCGAATCCTATAGAACGGCCGAAATTTAATCCACGCAAAAACGATGAATGATTAATAATATCAACGTGTTTAAGCAAACAGATAGTCCACCGCCGGACTATCTAACTCTTGTGAAGGCGTCTGGGTTACCCCTCCATGCGTCCTGGATGTGTGGCCCCTAAAGCGCACTGAGCTATTAGCTTATCAGGAGCGACCTGGCTACACATAATAGTTAAAGTGGCTTATCATGTTGCAATTTAAAGCAGCCGAATAATCCAAACGCGTGATGTTGATTCTAAATGTTTAGGGAAAACCGGAGGGATCCGGAGAAAATGTCACACGACCACGGAGAGAGAGACACAAACTCCAAATATAGAGCAGGCGAGGTAGTCAAAATCTCGTCACCGTAATACATTGAGATTTTAATTTGTAAACGTTTTCAGCGATTTAAGGATGAGTTGTGTTCAGCATGCAAGTGGGGAGGATATCCCCGGAGCACACAGAGAAAACCCCACACTTTGCGCGAGGGGGAAACACTTTGTCCTCTTACAGATGGAAATTGGTGACGAGTCCACTTGCTGTACTGTCTTCTCCTGGCGAGCCATGGTATGACATCTCCTCGCCTCCGCAGTGCTGGATTACCTGCAATTTTGCACGGTTGGCTACGTACGGTGCGAAAGAAGTTCAACATGCTGTACATACATGAGGCATACATAGCCACCACCTAGCTCACTCCCTCCACTGCGGTGCTTCTCAGCCAGTGTCGCGGCACATTCCCACGCGTGCCGCGGTATTTTCAGTTCTAGGATAGAACCTCAATGTTTGAAAGTCAGGGCGGACGAACGCCCCTCCGTGCCGTTCAGTTGCCGATCTCAGCTCACGCCTTCCTCTCCCATTGGCCGAGGATGCGCATGTACGACAGCAGAGACAGCCGTCAGCCCCCACCAAGCGGCCCTGTCAATTCCCTGGGTCGCACGTGCGCGGTTGGCCTTCAGGCGACGAGGTTGGGGGTGGCTCCGAATTTAGAAAGACTCGAGGAATTGACCACAAAAAGGTAGATCACACGTGTTGCTCTGTCTGCCCTTTAAGCCAGGTAACAGACCAATTAATTGTGAGATAGTATTATATATTATACATTAATGCTGTTTAAATGTGAAATAGTGGCAGTGTGCACGCACTGCGCTAGAAACTCAACGACTCGAGTTCCATTCACGACTCCAGTTTTCGACTCGCACTGACCAGTGTAGTGAAGTATAGACAATCCACATGACTGACCGCATGTGTGGTGGAAGGGGCCTTCATTCAGGAATGGATTTACAAGGGGTTGTCAATTAATGTGCACGTGAATGTGCGACATGAAGTGTTATCAGGCATAGACTTTAAGCCAGGTGGGAACGCAATGGTGAAATGTTGGTAACAAAGGAAACTTGGTATATGGTGCATGTTGTGTACATTTGTAACACACGACACATCCCAGAGATGAAAAAGGCAGTCATTACACCACTGGAAAACAAGACCGATCAGTGTATTGATCACAGGACAAGTATTAGGAGGCATGCCAAAGGTGATGTTGACAATTACGAGCGACCAAATAAGGTGGCTGAAACTGCAGAGAACCAGTTTGGGCTCAATGGCCGTGCAACCATATTTAATACTATATTAGCATTGTCAAAGTTCAATAACGGTGCACAACCTACGCAGTGTGTATATTTTACACAAACGCACTGAACATCGAAACATTAAGTTTAACGTTTGCAAGGGCCAAATAATGATTTGAATGATCGAATAATTATGTGGAGCCTACTGATACATTATGGGTAAAAGACAATATGCCTATGACATTCATAATAAAGGTTTTTGGGTTAGATCGCGTTATTTATAAATGTCGTAACCTTCCACCACCCGACACGGCCAATCAGCAAAAAAGTGTCACGTTGACAAAGGACAATTAGTTCACTACTTTAGCCCACCGGTGTGTTGAAGAGTGAATCCACAACATTTACAGTTTGAATACGTTTCGCTGGTAATTACATCCAGCATCATCGGGCAATTCGCCAGAATGGTAAAGCCCTCACATGCTCCCGGTCTTAAATAGAGCAGCAGGGTGACGTCATCATTTAACTCTTAAAACCTTAAATGCCTATGACACCATACTACAGTAATTGTTAAACAATATTGTTCATGAGACTCGAAAGTCAAAGCCAGATCAATGTATACTTGAACAAATGCTGTTGAAAAAATGTGGTACATTAAACGATTAGCTAAAGGATGTAAATGATTTTGTGATGAAAGAGGCCCTTACATCGAGTAAGGGATGTTAAACGGTTGCCATAACCTTTAATTCTAATTAGGACAAATTAGTTTATTTAAAGCGAGACCTGGGATGAAATGTATACCTGAACATTTAGTGTACAAGTGCAAACATCTGTACAAAATATCGTGCGAGTAATAATTGGTTCCTGGTAAGAGGGATGCCGATAACAGTTAAACAGTTATCCAAGCAGCATTGCCTTTAAAAGCTGTGAACTATTCTTTCAGAATACACTTGGAGACAAATGCGTAAGTTAAATCAAAACTGATTTTAATACGGCACATGCAAAACAGTGCATAGCATAACCCTAGGACAGCAATTGTCTCTCTGTATCGAACAGTATTTCCTCAAGGAACTACAAATAAGCAGAAAATGCAGCCAGGCGGTGACCCCCCTCCCCCACCATTGTCTGCGGCCATAATGGTGTTATGGGCCAATTAAGGAGTGTTAACAAGTGGGGAGAAATCGGAGCACCTGGAGAAACCTCACACGTGTGAAGGGGCAACACTATCCAAAGCAGATAGAACCGTTTGCATTCCATATGATCTCTTCCGCCTATTGGAAAGCCAGGGGGGTCTGGCACCTCGACGCCCACGGGAAAGACGTTTAACAACGCGTGTGATCCACCAAACCCTCACCTCCAGTGTTATATTAGGGGCGTGCATCACAACCACCATATAGTTCATACCTGACAAAGGTGGAACTGTGGGATGTCACACGATGGGTTAATTTCAATTAGTTTCCACCCGTGTAATAATTCGATCTTTCATGTTTATTATTAGTTAACAATTATCCTCCATTAAAACCATAACTTCAGGGCCATCCATTTAGTACGCACGCATGGAGGGGGGGGGGGGGGTGATCCAAATGCGTACGCTTGCGTATGGGGGTCTACTGACAATGTACGTACGCATAGGAAACGGGGGGGGGGGGGTGAAGCCTCGATAATAATTCGTCTACATTGGCCTTCAAATGAGTTAGATAGTCCGGCGGTGGACTACCTGTTTGCTTAAACACGTTAATATTATTTATCCTTGATCGTTTCTGCGTGGATTAAATATCGGTCGTTCTATAGGATCCGGGGTGGGGGGGGGTTGCGTCAAGCGAACGTACGCAGATGGGGAGGGGGAATGTAAAAAGTCCGCGTGCGTACAGGGAAGGGATCAAGTTGACAGATTTTTGCGTACGTGCTAAATGGCAGTCAGTCGGGCACACAGTTGTTATCTAAACAAGAAAGATCATTTTGATTTAAAGCTTTCGTGACTGCAGGGATTCATATTCTTGGTTCTTTCGGTAAAGTCATGTGACTTTACCGAAAGAACCAAGAATAAGAAAGACACTGTTAAATATGCAAGAGGCATAAGCAGCTCGTGTCCTTGTGCAGGTTGTTGACTTTCAAAAATTTCCAGAACTTTATTGAAAAAGTACTATAGGTTTATAACCTGGGTATGATGGTATAACCCTATCTGCACATTATAATTCAGCAGAATCGACATACACTCGGTTGTTGACTTGTGACTAGAATTCTCAAGTTAATAGTTAGAGTTACAAAATAAGGGTACTTAAATTTTGATTTAAACCTTTCGTGACTGGAGGGATTCATATTCTTGGTTCTTTTGGTAACGTCACGTAGAAGGGAAACAATAAAATAATAAAAATATTAACCATAAAAATATAAGGGTACTGTTACATTTTAACAATACTTGAACTCAATGAAGCATACCAAATTGATACTTAACCAAAAATGTTTTTTCATCAGAATATGCATACAGTATATTTTCCCAAGTCTCAGACGAAATCACAAATGGCATTAAAAAAAAAAATCTCAATAGGTTAACAATTCACTCTGGTGGTAAATCAATATACTGTACTGCTAAAATTATTTGCCTCATTAATCAATTTGAGTGATTGTATTTATAGTTTTGGTGTATACAATTGTCCTGTTATACATCAGCATGTAATGTGCATACATCCTTCAACATGCCACATACTGTCCGAGTCTTAAGAATTTATCGTGACTGATGTCGAAGCATTTTTAAACCCCCACAATGTATGTTTTATATTGCAATTCAAATGTGAATTAATCAATATGCGCATTCTTAGAACAGATAAAAATATATTCGGGATTATACATGGCAACGGTTGGTGAAAAATAGTTACCATTATTAAAGGCAATGATGTTATCATTGAAGTTTATATTAAAGAATAACATTACAAGGTATAAAACATGTTTTTAAGAAATGCTGACCATCAGAATGGTTATAATTAATTCCTGCATAATCACAGACAACTTATACATCAGTGTGGTTAACTGGAGTTTGTACAGAAATACTGTAGAACACTGCTGGAGTTTGGATATGAAAACATATTTGGCACCGCTCGAGTGCTAGTCTTCATGGTCACTGTCATCCTTGGTGACCGCTCTTGAGCTTCGAATTGAAGACATCATCATGTCCTCCACTGGCTTGCGAGGATTTTCCTCCAGGTCCGTCGTAATAGCTCCTGACTCCGAGAGCCTCCACTCCAATTCTACACATATCCAAGAACACACACAAGCAATGAAAACATTAGTATTATTTTAGCATAGCATCAGCTAACTATGCCTGTTTAAGAGAAGTTAACAGTGGCTCATTCTTTGGTTCTTTCGGTAAAGTCACGTAGGTAGCAAAATAATAAGAAATAAAGTGAATAAAAAATAAAACACTAATGTTGACTGTAGCCTGGTTCTTAAGCGGAGTGTACTGGCAGTCTAGAATGTAGACTGTAGCCTGGTTCTTAACCTCGGTGAGTGTACTGGCAGTCTATAATGTAGACTTATTATTGGTTCTTTCAGTAATTTAAATAATAAAATATATATCAAAACAAAAACCGTGACGTTTCTATCGCAACACAAGCGGTCGTCCTTATTTATATTTTTTATTTTCATTTACACTCAACCCAGCTTAATAACCATTACTACAGTCTACATTATAGAATGCCAGTACACTCCTATTAAGAACCAGGCTAGTCTTCATTCGTGTTGTGTTTTTTTAATTCACTTTATTTTTTTATTTCTATCTACGTGACTTTACCGAAAGAACCAAAGAGTATGAATTCCTGCAGTCACGAAAGTTAAGTCAAAATTTAACAGTGGCGTTTAAGAAAAATATTAAGCTAACACTTAACATGGTTAGTTTTTCTACAATTTCTCTGTGCAGTTTGAGAAACAGCATCCATTTGGAACTCTCGCAGAGCAGTGCACATGTTCGTGTTAGAAAACGGTCTGTATGATCATCGCATGATAAACCGATATTTTCAATTATCAGACAAAATTTAGTTTTTCGTGCTTGATAAACCAGTTTCATCTCAAACAGCTGCCAGGATCTAAGTTGTGTCAGCTCAGTAACCTGAGCTCTGAACCACCCAGCAACCTCCAGTACTTACCGTCCTGTTTAAGGTTCATGCCTCCAAAGACCAGTGGGCCAATGAATTGAGCACGAATGTCACCATCCTTGTAAACGAAAATGGTAGGGAGGTTCTTGTCGGGGTAATTGGGGATGCAAGTAGTGGAGATGGACTTCAGGAACTTGGTGTCTGGGAACTTCCTGGCTAAGGCTGTCAAGTGCTGGTTTATTAAGGCACATAACGGGATGCTGTGGAAGAGAAAGAAGAACATTTAGTGTTCAAAAATAAACGAGGCATGAGTTAATTTCCTTTCAAAAGTTGTAATTGTTGTGACATTATTATTGCAAGCAGAAAACCAAAGGCATCTGGGTGGGTCAAAATATGTATTGTGAGAATAGTATTAGAAAAATAAGAATTGTTAATTTAGTATACAAGCACAGTATTAGAAACAGATGGCCAAGTGCTTTGCTACGTGAAATTGCTAAATGAACCAACATAAATGAAGATAAATGCATACCCCTGTTTATATAAGTGAAGCACCACAAAGATGTCAGGGCCAGCTTTGGTGACCTCGTGTACGTAATCTTGACCCGAGATCTCCAAAACATCTCCAAACTTGTTTTTCATTTGCTGTGCCTTCCACTCCGCCAGCCTCTTTTGTCTGCCAAGAAAACAACAAGCAAACACATAATAAATAATGTTCATGCTTTTGCCATAACTGGAATTTTTTATGATTCAAATAAAAAATCAAGTCAAAGGTAAGCATTTATTGGTGGAAATTAATTAAAGTTGTATTGCTCACACCGACTGCTCTATTTATTTTAAACTGCACAATTTATATTCTTGGTTCTTTCGGTAAAGTCACGTAGAAGGGAAACAAATAATAAAAATATATATTTAGTTCTGGAATGGACACATCAATTCCCTCACTGCATAATCAACATTACATATTTTTATGACACATTACTAGGAAATTATGATTACATTTAAAATATGGAAATTAGGTGTTTTGTAATGAAACAATATACCAGGTAACTTATTTACTTATATTCATAAAACAAATATGCAAAAACACAACAGCAAAAATAAAGTTCCTTACCGATACATTTCTATGACACGCTCATCCTCTTCATTTAGTTCATCTTCAAGCTCATCAAATTCATCTATGGTCATGTCATCGTAGTTCTTCACTAAACCATAAAAAAAAGAATTATGGGGTTTTAAAAGGTTAGAGTAAATATGAGGCAAGCGTACAGTTACAAAGTATATCTAAGTCATGTTTAGATTCAGTGTTTTATATACGAAATTAACTTTGCTTAGAATAGTTTACTGACATTAAATATCAACTAATTTCAGTCTGAAATCTTTGGAAAATGCAGGTCTAAACATCAAACAAATATATGTATAAATATATTAAACTGTTGAATACAAAGTAAATGTAACATGTTTTCAGCTATTACATGTGGGCTTCATCACCTGAACAGTGTTATTAACCAAGTGTAAACTTTTTTTTGAAAACAATGATATACAAAAAAATCAACTCACATTTAATATATTCGAGGTCAATTTGATATGTGAACCACACTTAATATGCATTCACAGTAAATGTATTTTCTTATAAATGATTCTCTTCAAAGGCTGGCCTTCAGTGCTTTCCTTGGTGACACATTACACAGAATATTACACAATGCACTCATCATACCAACTGACTGTTGCTGTGCAGTTGTCTCCTCTTCTTCCTCCTTGGGTTCTTCCTTTTGAGGGATGATTCCATGTTTGCGCAGAATTGAATTCCATTCCGTATCTTCGTTTGGGTCCTACAATAAATAACAGCAATTTATGCAATGTTAAATTAAGCATTTCTTTTTGTATAATATCTGAGATGTTACAGACCTGTCCAGAACGTAAAGATAACAAACCAAACGTCTTAAATAAATTTGCCACTACAAACTTGGCCAACCCCCCTTCGTTATGAAACGGATAGTTTCTGATGAACTACCCATAACCTCGTAATATTGCATGCATCTGCTTCATGCCTTACATAACACCAATATGCCATCACACAAAATTGCTTGTTAAAATAATTCCACGATTTTGTCAAATTATGCTTCGATTCTTCAACTCCGAGTGTTGTTGTACTATGTTGAGTGTTTTGTACTGTTTTTTGCCCTTAGCCCTGTTTTTTGTTAACACAGGCTTCCCTTATGCCACTGCGTCTCCAATGTAACGTTCTCATGTTCTACAGAAACACGAGTTGCATGCAAAGATTGAGTGAAACGGGGCGTAATCGATTGCCAAGAACATCTGGTAACTGGGTGGTGGCATGTTTAAAAAGCCGGACTGCTAAGACCCATATGGTTGAAACCGGTTAAGTTTTCTTGCTTAAACAATCGTGCTAGACAAGGTTCTGGAAAGCCAATATGCCTATTGAGGAGAATATATTTCAACGTGCAGACAAAAAACGAGTTCAGCTTATCCATAATAAAGTTTTTTTTTGGGTTAGATCGCGTAAGGCGATGAATCTAATTGTAATTACTGGCGAAACGTCGTACTCAGATTGTAAATGTTGTGGATTTGCTCTCCAACACACCGGTGTGCTGTAGTAAAAACGATTTAGCACGTTCTGTTAACGTGACGAACCTTACTAATCGACTGTCGGGTGGTGGCGGGTTTAACGACACATTTATATTTACGCGATGTAAACAAAAAACGATATTATGTATATTGGTCGAGAACGCCTACGTGTTAAGCGGAGTTCAGCTTGTTTTTTACGCATAAAACCGCACAACGAATGTGAATGACAAACTCAAAGAGACTGTAATCAGAGGTGTTCAACTTGTAAGCGGAATAGTATTTTAGATGTGAGCACTAGCAAAGAGATTGACGAATGTTGCGGTTGAATCACTCTGGGTCACTTAACGCCCGAATACTTTATCTAAATATAGGTGAGGCAATACACACAAGAGGGTAAAATAAAGTGCCCAGGTTGAGGGTAGCGAGGCCGCTTCGCGAACGTCGCCTTACAAGGGCATGGAGCAACGCGTGGCGAGGGGCGCGTACCGGGCCTGGCCACAGGCTCGCTGACAGCAGCAGCAGCACGGCCATCAACAAGGCAGGCAGCCCAAAGCGCCACACACATACTGACTAGGCGGGCGACCAAGGCGAGTCTCGCTTGAAGTGTAAGAAGAACAAAGCCACTAAAGCTCGACTGACAACGGTGGAGCAGCAGGAGCGGCGCGGCACCATTCTTAGCTGTCAGAGCCGGCACCAACTCGTCACCTCAGTCTACACGAACACGACGGTGACTCGAGCCGCATCCGGGGCATGTTCGGTGTAATCGTAATAATCATGAGAGTCGCCGGCCGACCGGTGTCTTGCGGCGTGTCCGTGAGAGCGAGAGGGGGAAGCTGCCGGGGCTTCGTCACCTGCATGGCGCCTCGCTCGCTGCCCTGGGAGTGGCGGGAGGGCAGCTGGGGGGGGCGGGCACGGGGGTTAGGGACCGCGGCGAACAGCGCGTGCCGACTTGACGCCTCCCCCCACAGCCCTCACCAACGCAGCTCCACTGATAGGGATCGCGGCGAATAAGCTCCGTGTTGAGGGCTGGGTGACAGCGACTCAGCCGTTTCCTCAACGCGTTGGTCAAAAATATTGGCCTTAAAAGGGAACATATATAATAAGCGATGTTTCGGGCAATGGGCCTCCATAATAGCACATTAATAGAGAGGTTTCTTTGTCATTTAGGCAGTTTATTGACGAACGCGCCGAGTAGTTTACGCGATCTAACCCAAACCAAAAACTTTAGTTGACCGCATGTACACCACGGTGCCTGATTAGGATAAACCAGACATGTGGATATCTACCTCTTAGATTGCAGACGTTACAAACCAGGACTTTATCAAATAAGTGCATTTGGTAGCTTGAAGAAAACTGCGGTTTTGTGTTAAAACGATATATTTTCAATACCTCTCAAGATTAAACATGGTCACCTCCTGACATTTTTAGTTTTTTTTTAAAATAGGGCCTTATACTATAAATTAAAAAAAAACACATTCAATGTATTTTCTCCGCTAAGTATCAGTTTACGAACCTTTGGGCGGGAAGGGGCAATTACTCCCATTGATGGTGAGAGATGCAAATAGATCATGAAAAATATTCCACCCATGACATTTTTAATTTTTTTGTAATTCATGAATTCATGTCTAAAATGATTATACCTCTTTAGGGATTACGACAGTATATTGAAATATAATGTATGTCAAATCGAATGTGAGTTATACAATGTGTATTCCTTAATCCAGAATGGCCATTCAATTCATTATGAACACAATTTTGCATTAAAATATACTGTACACTAAAAAAATGCATACCTGTATTACATTTGCAATGGAAACAATGTTCAGATAAAAATGTTCATTTTACAATGTTTATTTTAAAATACACAATTCCATCTATTAAACAATACATGTTAAGTGCATGACATTTCATACATTTTTACTGGGTTGATCAAAACATTCATATAAATACATCACAGTGGTGCATACATTCTAAGTCACAATACCATAAATACACCATGCATTCAAATTCTATACTCATCTGCCGGTATATGAACAATATACAAGTGACTACACTGTATGCCACATATCCTTGATATAATGTGAGGCGATATACCGTGTCCTGCGTATAACTTGGGATTTATTGGAACCCCTAAATTGAGAAAAACAACACTCCCCAAACTGAAACGTGTTACTGCATGCAAAACAATGCTGACTTGTGAAATTTGTGATACTGCATTGGCTGTGGTGCCCAAGCACATTTCATTATAACAATCAACACATTCGGTAATAACACTGCCCGAAAAGGAACAAATATACAATGGGTGATGTATTTGGCTATGGCCATTCTTTATAGGGATCTATATCCTATGAAGAAGGTCCATTGCAGAAACCATTGCCTATTAGTTTTTACTTGTATAGTATATCTTTTACCTTATAGTATTATACAATCGCCTTCTGATTTTCGGTGGTTTCAGGGGTGTTTGTTTAAATCATTTTTGACATTACTTTTAAACACAAATATGTAATGTATACATTTTTATTTAAAACTTTCATGACTGCAGGGATTCATATTCTTGATTCTTTCGGTAAAGTCACGTAGAAGGGAAACAATAAAATAATAAAAGTATTGTTTTATATTTTTATTATTTTATTGTTTCCCTTCTAAGTGACTTTACCGAAAGAACCAAGAATATGTAATGTATAGTTTTATAATAGAAAACAAAACGTAAACATTACAAACCATATATGGGCTAAACTTGGTCTTCATGGAAATTATGAGGCTATGTTAAGAAAATAGGTATCATGGGGAAGGCACACCGATCCTGAATTTCCCTGGTAATTTGAGGGCATGCTGTGTGTTGGGAAATGTCTGAAAACACTATGTAGCTGACCTTTATTCTCAAATGGATTCCCACCGGTATGTGGTGTGTGCGTCCATAAGTATAGAAATATTAAGACATGACAAAGTTCACAATCAATGTAATATATTTTCTACAATATTTTAGTAATACATGTGGGTGCATATCTGCTTGCAACAACTGTTCTATACCCATTTGCTTGCATCCCATTGTATTAATGAGCACATGTAATTACGATATATTAATAGTCTTGGGGGTGTCTAATCAGAAGTTTTTTTTTACACATTCAGAATAAAGTAACAGTGAAGAATGTACGAGCGCCTAAATCCGTCACAAAATACAGTACTCCATTTCTAAAATATATTTTTTGTTTATAAAATGGTTCATTTGGACTTATTGTGCCAAATGTATATTTTGTCAAAGTTAAATGCATGCAATCATTTCAGGGAATATAATGATGCCAGTCATTAGGAGTATATTTCAGTGTAACTGGAGAGTAAGATGAACATACAGTAGCATCCTGGCAATAAGATCGTCACGACAGCAATTAATGATCTCTTAGTCTTCTTTATCTGCAGTGAGGTGAATAGGAAAAGTTAACAGACATTTTATACAACATAAGCAGGTAAAACGACACTGCATAGTGTGAAGAACGGTACATAGATCACATTCATTGGAAGTTGTGGTTAAATAATTCGGTAATGCAAACTTATAACGAAATACTGAGGTACATTTAGGCCTAACACGACATGCTCAGATATTTACAAAAAATATATACTTTCCAATTATTATGTCCTCAACCAAGTGCATGATTGTGAGGGCAGCCACCTGTGATGAAACGAGGTACTGAAGTGAGTGAGTTGATGGTCTCAGTCCGGTCACCAATGGCTGTAAAGAATAAAAAGGCCACTCAAGGGATTTGTCAGGAGACGTCTTGTGAGAAAAAGGCAAAGGACTCGCTACTTTCTGAAATTAATTTGGGGCGCCACGGTGGCAAGATTTTAACTCCCTCTCCTGGTATACAGGAGGTCGTGGGTTCGATCCCAACCTTGACACCTGTATAATTGGAGTTTCCATGTTCTCCACGTGGTCGCGTGAATGTTTATCTGGGTCCTCCGAGTTTTCCCTCCACATTTAGAATAAACATGCATTTAGAGTATTTGGCTGCTATACATTTCCACATAATACACCACTTTCGTTGTGCTATCATTTGTGGCCAGGTCGCTTAAAAAAAGCTATATAACACAGTGGGCCTTACCTGGTGAAATAAAACGAGTTGAAAGAGTTTAGTTTAGAATTCTAAGTAAGTATCATGACATGATGACGATAGCACTAGGTGAATGCATTGAGAAGAAAATAAAACAATGCTTACATTTGTTAAATGTATTATTGTTTATTAATATATTGGATAATTGACATTAATTCAATGAGTACACTTTGTATCACCAAGAGCCGCGAGTGTTTATGTGCATTTCTGTGGAATTTGTGTTGCACATGGTATACATTTTCCAGGTGTCTATTTTGCTATCAACATGCAGCAACATTTTGATTAAAGCTTTCGTGACTGCAGGGATTCATATTCTTGGTTCTTTCGGTAAAGTCACCACGTAGAAGGGAAAGAACCAAGAATATTCAGCAACATGCTTTATTTGTGCATGTATTACATTTTCAGAAGTATAAACTATTTTCTTTACAATAGATGGCCTCTTACCTGAGAATGCTTCTTCTTCCATTGCGTGGCTACAGATATAATTATGGGCACAATTAGAATACAGAGTAAAGTAGTTCCTTGTTTCATTGATCATTAAAAACAAACTGCGTAAAATATGCAAATGTAGGAATGAAATGGAATTTATAGTTTACACTATCGAGTTTTAAATTATTCATAACTAGGTGAAAAGGCATGAGCCTGGTTGAGGAGGTATACGCCTGGATAGTGCTTGCATAGGTTCCCATATGCATGCCAGGTGTTGTATGTTGTGTATGTATATTGAATTTATTTTGCACCGTACGTAGCCAAACGTGCGAGGGAAGGACAACAGCAAGGACAACAAACTAAACACAAGAAGCAGTTCGAACGAAATTCGTTTTCAAACTAGATTTCAAATTGCACAGCTCCAGTGGCTTTATAATATCGGGAGGAGCGCTGGAGATGGCCGTAGAAACGCACCTGAGAGCGCGCCATGCAGTGAGCGCCTGTGTTCGATTGGATATGAGAGTGCATTGTCAGCAGAGGGCCGTGGAACTATTGTTGTACATACTATTGTTGTATCATACTATTGTTGTATTATACTATTGTTGTATTATACTATTGTTGTATTATACTATTATTGTAGCATACTATTGTTGTATCATACTATTGTTTTATCATACTATTGTTGTATTATACTATTGTTGTATCATACTATTGTTGTATCATACTATTGTTGTATCATACTATTGTTGTATTATACTATTGTTGTATTATACTATTGTTGTATTATACTATTGTTGTATTATACTATGCTCCAACAACTGTCCCCTGCCTTTACCAACAAGTACTGACCAGGGTACTGAAGTATGGCAAAATATAACGTCCATGATGTGCACAGCAAAGGGAGGCCCTCATCCAGCAGGGGATTATACAATCACCGGGACAGTCCTTTTTAAACCATGACTCTTCCCTGCCCAACCGGGACATTTCAAAACCATACCATAGTTTCACGTTGGTAGAAATGCGTAGAAAAGAATGGAGATTATGTTGAAAGAAAGCCAAATGTTCACGATATTCTGATGAATTCATCATTATATAT